ATTACCTCTAATCCTAACTCTAACCCTAATGATTATCACAAACCCTAACCCTAGCCCTTAACCCTAAGCCTAGCCCTTAACCCTAAGCCTAGCCCTTAACCCTAACCCTAACATTTTACCCTAGCTCTTAACCCTAGCCCTTAACCCTAACCCTAGCCCTTAACCCTAACCCTAGCCTTTAACCCTAACCCTAACATTTTACCCTAACCCTAGCTCTTAACCCTAGCCTTTAACCCTAACCCTAACATTTTACCCTAACCCTAGCTCTTAACCCTAACCCTAGCCTTTAACCCTAACCCTAACATTTTACCCTAACCCTAGCTCTTAACCCTAGCCCTTAACCCTAACCCTAACATTTTACCCTAACCCTATCTCTTAACCCTAAGCCTAGCCCTTAACCCTAACCCTAACATTTAACCCTAACCCTAGCTCTTAACCCTAACCCTAACATTTTACCCTAACCCTAGCGCTTAACCCTAAGCCTAGCCCTTAACCCTAACCCTAACATTTAACCCTAACCCTAGCTCTTAACCCTAACCCTAACATTTTACCCTAACCCTAGCACTTAACCCTAAGCCTAGCCCTTAACCCTAACCCTAACATTTAACCCTAACCCTAGCTCTTAACCCTAACCCTAACCCTAGCCCTTAACCCTAACCCTAACATTTTACCCTAACCCTAGCTCTTAACCCTAAGCCTAGCCCTTAACCGCAACCCTAACATTTAACCCTAACCCATCTGCTGAACAGAATAAAGGGGGAGTGAAGTAAAGTTAGTAAGTGCTGCAGGGGAAAGTTAAGTGCCATGCTGCTTTGCTTCCTTCATGAGTAAAGTAAAGGATCACTTTAAAGAGACCCTGTTGCCAGACTGGGTGTCTTAAATCCATACATGATGTTACAGAGCAGTACTATCTTCATTGACCATCCCAGTGACAATGAATACTGGCAGAGCATCTTTAGTTATAAAAACTACCAACATTTGAAAAAAAGAGGTGGATATGGGACTGTATGGTACCTAATACGCAGAAGAATATTTAACATGAAATATAAAGAATTTACAAATTTTAATAAGTATAACAATGGTAAGTAGCTTAAGAAGCCTTGTGGCGTGCACATACAAAAATCGCTATAAAAACATTAATAATTATATGGTATAGAAAGCTGACATCATAATTAGGAGAGCATCAAAATTGTAGCAAAGGAAAACCTCAATGGGTTTCGACTTGTACATAGCATATGTCTTCCTCAAGGGGTTGTTCTATATGATGATCTCTGCAATAGATAAAGATAACACTAATAAATCAAAAAAACATATCCAAGGAAAAAAAAGTACATATAGTCCCATAGATGGGAGCATTTTTAATCCTTACTCACATTAAATATACAACATGAACAAACAAAAACCAAGACAGGCTGAGTGTCTCCAGGGGGCTCCCTCCATAAAGTCTACAGTAAGTACAAGGGGTAAATCTGAGCCTTCAGGGCATGTGAAAACCCATCAAAAATAGACTATAATAAACTAATATATAATATTCAAAAGTATATAGGCTTGTTAAAATAACAGCAAGGTTATATTTCCTAATTTGCAGACAATGTAATCAAAATATGGATCACATCTTGCCAAGAAAATAGTAAATTTCCATTCTTAAATTCCCCGAGCCAATTAATCCAACACAAAAAGTATAAATCCCCTAAAGAAGTTCAAAACAAAACACAAAAATAAAAATCCATGAAAGAACGCTTTCATTCAATAAGTTGCAGAGAATTAAATCCTCTGCCCAGAGAATGCATTCATCAAAACAAACACAATTTACCAAAGCTCTAGGCTACATAAGTGGTCACAAAATCCCCCAAGACGGTTAAAGTAAACACTCCAAATGAGAAAAAGATGGAGACTAAGACCAGTTCTGTGAAAATACACACACACCTAGTCACATGATAGTAAATAACCAATAATGGGGGGAAGCTTTGGCGCCAAAACAAACGTCTTCATACAAGAGATTCATCCATTCAAAAGGCTGCTAAAGGATACAAATGTCTCCTAAATATCCCCTGCTGATACTTTCCAGCACCGCGGTCACTTCCGTGTGTGATGTTACATCCACTCCAGTGTGACGCCACATCCGGTACATGGCAACATCACTTCTAGAGTTGCTTGGAGAGAAGTCACAGCCATGATTGAAGAAGGCAAAAGGAGAAAATCAGCGCCGTCACGCATTACAGACCAGGTGGATGTTCAGGAATAAGATACTTGTCATCCTAAATGAACAGACAGCATCCCCTGTAATGGGGTGGAAAACAACCATAATAAGCCCGCCCTGGAAAAAGAAAAACGAGGGGGCCAAGCGTGCCGGGTGCTAGTGAACATATCCACTGAAAGCAAAATGAAAACAAAACGCAGAAAAATATGAGAAAAAGAGAAAAAAAGGACAATACAAACAGAGTGAACCAGAGGAGAACAGGAGGGAGACACAAAAAAAAATCTGGTCATTACAAATTATGTAAAAATTATATATACACACTTACTACTATAAAATGAATATACAGAAAAACATTTAAAAAAAATAAAATAAACAGGGATCCAAATCACCATTAATTACATCAGATGTTCAGACCTACCAGAGACAAAGCCCTCCAGAAAGGACTTGTAACGTAGCATCTCATTGAGGCCTGAACATTCAAATTTTTTTGAATTTTGGTAGATTTCAGCATTATGGGATGTGTTGCTGACTTATCCAGTTTTATTTAGGTATAGGAACTGTAGGTATAGAGGAGCTGTGAAATGATCTATTTTCTTTCACAATTAGATTTTCATACAGCAGTAGCATGCCATTCCTACTCATTTTGGTTTGATAAAATAATTTTTTGCCGGTATTTTAAGCAGTGTGATAAATTTAAAGCTGTAATACACAGAGAGCATATCACTCTTTGCTCCATGCTGTCTTTTCAGTTCACTCCGGACTGTGAACCTGAATGAAAAAGTTTTGGATTGCCACTCAGGTTCCTGTATCCAAATCCAGTGGACTCACACTATGGGTTTTGGCTTGGGGAAGAGCTCATTCCAGCTCTACATGTGCAAACTGGAAGAAAAGAATCCTGATCGCCGCACTTCAGAGAGACCGAATAGGCATACAAGCGAAAGCAGCCTCATTCTAGATCCATCCAGGCCATGAAGCTGGTGCGTTTTGCCCCACCCCCGGGGCTTAGGGATAGAGGACCTTGCAGGTGGGTGAGAAGTGTCAGGGCTGTGGTCTGGACAGAGCTAGTGGCTGAGGCTTCTTTCACTTGCATGACTATCGTGTCTCTTTGGAGTGCGTCAATCGTGATTCTTTACTCCCAGTTTGCCCACTCCAGACTGCTTTAAAATTTCCTCCCCACCCCCACACTACATGAACATTTGTCAAGGGGGCAAATGAATAAGTAAAGCAGGAACAAAAGAGCAAGCATAAGTAACCACACCTAAGCATAAATGTGGAACTATCTTGCTCAGAAAAAAAGAGACTTTATATGTACATCAACCAAAGACCTCTTTGGTTGATGGTCTATGCAGTTTTGGCAGTTACCAGGTATTGGTTTGGTTGATCTAATACTTGTGGATAACATTGTGGGAGTGAGTTTTGAACGGCCATGGGTATAGGAGCAGTGTGTACTTGGATCTAGGATAGGAGTTGTATGGGAACAGCCTGGAATGTTATGTACCCAATTACAACTGATCCCTGCTCTCCCTCGTTTAGAGCCAGATCAGAGTTTGATCCTTAATATCTCTCATTTGGATCCGTTTGGGTAATGTGATCCTCTTCTCCCCCACAAGGAAGGATGTTTACTGTTTCAATCTTTTCATGCTACGTAATTTAATATGGCTTAGTGTTGCATCTCAAGCATGGATCCCAAGGAAACAAATTCAGCGAAACGCGTCGATTCTATACGCTTATTGTTTGTTCATCACAAACTTAAAAGACTGTATGATGGTGCTAGACTGTGATATTCATTGTTTTATGTAAAATGTCTATTTTAACTAGATGGAGTAATAAATATAAAAATGTTTTATGGTTTAGTATTGTATATTTATCCCATTGTGAGGTACATATAAAGTCCCTTTTTTCTGAGCAAGATAATTCCAAATGTATGCTTATGTGTGGTTACTGATGCTTGCTCTTTTGTTCTGGCTTTGATTGAAAGTTTAGGATGGTACCACAATGTGGATACTTTTAACTTGGCTCCTAATCACACATTGGGGTTGATTTGCAAACGTTAAATAAGCTGTTCACTGAAAGTGCAGTTGTTCTAGATCTGAGGGGAACACACAAGGAAAATAAAAAAAAAGCATTTTTGCTTGCACGTGATTGGATGAAAGAAATCAGCAGTGCTTTGCCTAATTTCAGAGCTTCCCCTTGGATATAAAGCACTTGCAGTGCATTTGAAATGCACAGACTATTTGCCTTTAGTAAATTAAGCCTGATGTCTCTTTCTTGCTAATCCAAATGAATAAGTACAAATACTGTTATTCTTTACACTCAAAGACTTCCTCCTTTCCCTGCGATCGGTCCCCTGAAGCTGCTTCTCTTCACTGCCTTGCCACTGACAGCCATCTGACATCGTCATGTACAAAGCAGGACCAGAAATTCTGCATTGTACAGAAGGACTATGGGAGTTCTTTCACACTTGATGTGCTGGGGTGCGTTTGGCAAACAAAAAAGAATGCAGTTCAAACCAGAATGTTGTGGCATGCACTACTTTTTCCCAGCACAACACATCGCAGATGCACATGAGCACATTGTTTGGGGTTGTTTTACCTTATTTACCTTGGTTTGCCTTTCAGTGCAAACGTAACGCATGTAAAATGCATGCCAATGCATTACAAGGTATTACAAAAAATGCAATGCAATGCGCATGCATTAATGTATGCATTGGGGTGTGAATGACCCCCGAAGGTTTGCCCACATTCCAGAATGGATAAAAAGGAAAGCATTGGCTGCTGGGGAAGCAAGGAATAAGGTAAATCAGGGGCGGACTGACCATTTGGAAACTAGGGCACTGCCCGAGGGCCCAGGGTCAGTAGGGGGCCCCATGAGATGCCCCTGGTACCTTTTTCATAGGCTTTTTCGAGTTTGGGCAAGGACACAGGGGCCCCATGATCCCCTATTGCCCGGGGGCCCCATGAGTTGTCAGTCCGCCCCTGAGGTAAATGTTTCTACTTGTTCCTTTCCCTCCTAGGCAACATTTAATGCATGCAGCACATGGTTAAAATAAACAACAGCCCAGAGTTGGACTTTAAATGCGCTCTTGGGTTGTAGGTGACAGGGTCATTTTAATTAAAAGCTTAGAGGGAATGTGGGAATTATTTCCCTATTAAGTCATATACTTTTGCCTGAACATTTGATCTGGCAGCAGCATAGATGTAATCAATACAGTATTTACATTTACTGCCTAATTACGTGTGAATTTACATGGTAGCTGTTAGCCTTTCCAATTCTTTCAGCTCAGGCTTTTTGTGTGTCCATTAAGATAGTGATCAGATACACCACTGTGCATTAGACTTGCTATTTGTCAGGTGTTTGGTTCCTAATAAGGCCGCTGGCAGGAATACAAGCCAGCTACCATTAGGATCAGTACATATGCCTATAGAAAGAGTTTTACCTATCCATAGACAGGTTGATATTGATGGAAGGGGGCATCTGGCTGCTTTTAGCACTGGATCCTGACCCTGGGACTTGCCTGATGGACCTAAAGCTGTAGTAAACCATCACAAAAAAAAAAATCCAGTCCCCTGCAAGTCAATGGCATAATGTGCTAGTACGCATCGCTCACTAGTACATTATGAAATGCTTACATGTAAAACGAAGCCCTGCAGTGGTGCTCTGTCATGGCTTTCATCTTCACCTGGTCTTACCTCTGGGTTTTTGGGTTTCGGCCATTTGAATGGCCAAGCCACAATGACAAAACTCCCGCGCATGCATGCAGGAACCACGATAGCAGCACATCTCTCTCAATGGACAGCATACTGGGGTATGCCATCCATTCAAAATGCAGTGTGCATGCTCAGTGACATGGCCAGCTGCTAGTCATGGGAATATCTTCTAAACAGTGTAAGATTAGGAAATATTCATTTGAAATACAGGTAAGAGTTATTATAAGATTACCTGTAGGTAAAACATGCAAAGCAGACTTTACTACCAATTTAAGTGGCATGTACGTTGTTAACATGTTCCTTCTCTGTTAACACTGTATTACAGAACGTCAGTGAAAGATCAGGAGCAATTCTGATATTAAAAGATATTGCTATAACTTCCTAGAAAATCTCTAAATTGGAGTAAACCTCACTACACTGGGTTATTGGATCAGGGCAGGATAAGGCTTTGAAATAAAACTATAATGGTTTTGGATTAATTTTATTTTAGTCCTTTTTTTCACTATCTACTTTATAATCTTTGTACTAAATTAAGCATTTAATACATGACAAAAGATTCCTAGAGCATTATGGGCTAGCCAACAAGAAGACACAGCAAAACAAGTGTAAACCTTGTTACTTTTGTCTAACTCAAACTTCCAATAAGATATGACTCACTGGGATGGGTCATTCACTTGTCTCTGTAAGTACCAGCTTGAGCTAGTGGATTCAATAAACAGAAGACTTTCTAGCAAAGTGAGACTAGAAAACATGAGAGGAAACCAAAAGCTCCACCTGCTGGCACAAAAATAAAATGCTAAATATTTGTTTGAAATATATTTTATGTTGACCTTAAATATATAAATAGTAAAGTATGTCACATTTATTTATTTTTAACATTTCTTCATTTGCTTCCTGGTTTCCTGGCCTAGGCAAATGATGTCATACATCCCAGGAGTCTTCAGGAGGGGAGGAGGGGTTTTCACACCCTTCTGCTTGCATGCCAGAGCTAAGGGCAGATGGATTCCAGGCAGTAACTACTACATGAATCATCTGCCCTTACTTAAGATGGCCATGGACAAAAATGCTCAGGGGGTGTTTTTCATTGTGATTGTCAGCAAAATAAAGCATAGAGACATGGATGGATGCCCAAGTATGCTTTTTGAATTTTAATGAAAAAGCATTTTCAGTTGGCGGTGCTCAGATGCAGTTTAGTTCCACTTTAAAAACAGAAAAATATATTTTTTAAAATTGTACATTTAAAGTTGAATTCTGATTTTAAAAAAATCCTACTCCACTGCCTATAACTAATCTAAAGTCTATAACTAATCTAAAGACTTTAAACCTCCAAAGTCCCTTTTACGTACTTGAATGCATGGTAACAGCACACATGGGGACTCAGGATGAATTTCGGACACCCCAACTGGGTACCTCTGCCAAGAAGCTGCTTCCCAAGTTCTGGAACATGAGGTAAGTGACTATAGCTGTAGCTACCCCAAAGAACTAGACAACACCAGTTTTTAGAGTAAACAAGAAGAACTGCTTTATCAGAAACACACACTGCATACAGAGAACCATCAGATAAGAGCTAGCCATATTATCACAGACAAAGCCCATCTCAGAAAGTCCGGTGCCCTCATAGAAATACATTACACATAGGAAGTCATATGTTACAATGATAGTTCTTTGGGTATTCTACTAGCCCTAGCCACTATACAGTTCCATGCGAATTTGGCTAGGACCTGGTGATATGCTGATGGAGTGCCCAGGCTAGATGGAGGTTTCGATGGGCATAAAAGTCAATTAGTGACCAGCACCTTCTGGATAACTTGAAAACACAATAAAAAAAACATTTCTCCAGGCAATAGTTCTCCTGCAGCCCCAAGTCCTTGACAGGGACCCAAGCCTTCCTTCCTTTGGAATGCATTGTGGAAGGGTGCTAAAAAGCACAGTGCATTTGCCCACCTCTATTAGCCCTAAAATGCTATTGATCTAGTATTAGTAAATGAAAAGACAAAGACACAAAGATGGAAAAAGCAAATACAGAATCTGTAAAAACAAAGGCACCTCTGAAGACTCCTGTCTTCTAATAAGTAATAATACTTTTATTCTGATTAGATTACCCCATGCCTCATTTACATGCTGTTAAATGATCTATTTGCCAACTTGCTGCTCCAATAACCCAGCTCCAGGTCCGCGTTTCACCCCATACATTCTAAGCAGGAACATTTTCATTTTCCAATCCTCTTCTCCTGTATGCTTGAGAACCTGTGTTTAGTAATCAGTAAAATTCTCAATGAGCCGTACAGACTAATATCCAAGTCAGACTTCTTCATCTTAGCCTCTGTGTAGTCCTGGAGCCTGCAGCTTGCTGTGCAGTACCTTGGTTGTAATGAAGAAGCACTGTTGTGTCTGAATGCTGAGAGGCGGTGAAGCAGGGCAATGTACAGCACAAGCCATGGATGAGCTGCACAAATGCCAAATGTTTGTTTTCTGATGCTGCTGGAACTGATAAAAGCAAGCCTAGCCAAGAAAGTCTGGACCTAGGGCAGCAGAACTGCTAGAGGCTACATGGAATGGCTTTCTGAACATGACTGTATAGCACTTGGCAAGTTCATACTTCCCAATTGTGGTGCCCAGGAAGGATGCATTTGACAGCAGTTATTGTGTGTTCATAATTTGCAGAAACACAAAAAGGATAGATAGTGGGGCTATCCCTACCTAAAAAGTGTTCCTGACTGTCTATGAAGCTAAGATAAATAACACAGGGACGTGACCTCAAACTAGCAGGAGGAAAGTTCAAAACTAATCAATCGAAGATCTGCACTCAGACAAAAAATAAGTAAAACAAAAAAAGCTTATATATACTGTATGTGTGTGTATATATATATATATATATATACATACAGGAGCGAACTGACCATTTAGCCACTCGGACACTGCCCGAGGGCCCAGGGTCAGTGGGGGGCCCCATGGGATGCCCCTGGTACCTTTATTAGGCTTTTTTTGGTGTGGTGTGAGTGTGGGCAAGGACACAGGGGCCCTATGATCCCTTATTGCCTGGGGGCCCATGAGTTGTCAGTCCACCCCTGTGTATATATACAAATATATATATATAGTGGGGATAATTATTTGATCCCTTGTAGATTTTGTGAGTTTGTCCACTTACAAAGAAATTGAAGGTCTATAGTTTTCATTATAGGTGTATTTGAAATGATAGAGGCAGAATTTCAACTAAAAATCCAGAAAAAACACATAATACAAATGTTATAAATTGTAGTATTTGTAATTTATCCCCAAGCAAAACATGACTTTGTACTTGTTGGGGAAACCCTTGTTGGCAAGCACAGAGATATTTCTTGTAGTTGGTTACCAAGTTTGCACACATCTCAGGAGAGATCTTGGCCCACTCTTCTTTACAGATCTTCTCTAAATCCTTAAGTTTTCTTGGCTGTCACTTGGCAACTCGAAGTTTCAGCTCCCTCCATACATTTTCTAAAGGATTAAGGTCTGGATACTGGCTAGGCCACTCCATGACCTTAATGTGCTTCTTCTTGAGCCACTCCTTTGTTGCCTTGGCAGTATGTTTGAGTCATTGTCATGCTACAAGACCCATCTATGACCCATCTTCAGTGTTCTGGCTCAGGGAAGAAGGTTCTCATCTAGGATTTTACAATACATGGCCCCGTCCATTGCCCCCTCAATGCAGCAAAGCCGGCCTGTACCTTTAGCAGAGAAACAGCCCAAAAGCTTTATACCTCCATGCTTGACTGTTGGTATGGTGTTTTTAGGGTCATAGTCAGCATTTTTCTTCCTCCAAACACGATGAGTGGAGGTAATGCCAAAGAGCTCAATTTTGATCTCTTCTGACCACAGCACAGAGTAATCTGTGTACCACATGAGCACATAGCCAGTCTGTGGGAGCTAGAATTATTGTTTAATTCAAAGGGTTGAACATAAATGTCAAGTACAAATTTTAGGAACTGCAACCATTTTTACACAGTACCTCCATTTTCAGGGGCTCAAATGTAATTGGACAAATTCATATAATCATAAATAAAATGTTCATTTTTAATATTTTGTTGAGAATCCTTTACTGGCAATGATTGCCTGAAGTCTGGAACCCATGGACATTACCAAAGACTGGGTTTCTTCCGTTCTGATGCTTTGCCAGGCTCCAACTGCAGCTGTCTTCAGTTGTTCTTTGTTTGTTCTTTCTGCCTTTAGTTTTTCCTTCAGCAAGTGAAATGCTTTCTCAATTGGGTTGAGATCAGGTGATTGCCATTGCAGAATA